AAGGTTTATAATAATAATAATAATAATTAAAGAATAACAATTTCAGCAACAAACTAATGAGATTAATGAGAAATCTTGCCAGTTGGCTATAAACCAGTGCTGTGATCAACAATGCATTTGCATCATATGTAAAATATTGTTTGCTTAAAAAAATAAAACTTGTGTTGATGTTGAAGCGCACTTTTACCATGAAATCACATCTCAACAGTTTGACTGAATTTCCCAAAATATATTAGTCAGTCACCAAACTTGTTTCAGTAAGTGTGATTTGATCTATTCAGAAATTCTCTGAAACAAAATCATGCTCGTCTTTGAAATATGCATGAAAACAATGCGCTGTTATGAGCAGTTTCACTGCTGCTACATCCTGACATGATGCTGATGAAAACTGTATATTCTTGAAAACTGCATTGAGTTTTATATGCTTAATACAGTGCTGTCTATGTTAGACTCTAGGCTATGAAGACTAACAATGCAATCTAGATAGGCAGCTCACCAGGTTTTAATGCCCAACAAATGCTATCCTTATAGACAGGTATGTTATAATCCCCCAAAATGCAGTTTGACGACTATAATGCCTCATGCACTTGGTTTTGAGACACAGCTTTCTGTTCTCCTCACTTATTTCATTTTATTTTTTACATTTATGTTTCTTTGTTGTTATTTTCTGTATTATGTGGCTATAAATGTGCCTATAAAATACGCTATATAAAGTTTGTGCTTTCCATTTCAGAAACCCGTTTTGAGGTGTTTGTGGGACTGTGGCCGAGCATGATGGGTGCTCTCGGGAACGGTCGACGTGGCGGTCGCTCTCCGTCTTTGCTGGTGGCGGCTCTCATCGCCTGCGTCCTCCTGCTCGGCTTCAACTACTGGGTCTCGAACTCAAGAAACGTCGAGCTGCAGGTTTGACACTCTGTGTTTAGATGTAGTCTGTGGCAAGTGGTGAAGTGAGTGGCTGTTAGCTGTAATTTGCTTTGTGTTGTTCTCCAGAGCAGGATATTGGAGATGGAGGGCCACATGAGGCAGCTGGCTGCAGACAGAGACCGAGAGCAGCAGAGCAAGCTGAAGGCCGAGGAGGAGACGCGCAGACAGAACGAGCAGCTGGAGTTAATGGAGGAAACACACCAGAGACAGCAGGAGAACACTCTCATCACCTGGAAACACGAAAGAGTATGAAAACACTCATCTTACACTCACTCACAGCAGTTCAGGTGAAAACTCAGAGCTACTGATCGTGCGGTTCTTGGTCGTTATTTAAAAAATGAATTATTTTTATTATAATAAATAAAAGTCAAACATTTGGAATAATTAAAATGTTTTAATTATGGCTGTCAGTTTAACGCATTAACTTAATTAATTAGTAATGGAAAAAATAACGGGATTAAAATATTTTTACGCAGTTAACGCACTGGCCCCGCCCCCAGACATGTACGTCATCTTACAGTTCATACTGTTGACAAATATGATGCAGGGCAACAACTCCATAAATGCAGATATGCCCTAAAATTCTAGATTTTGGGGCAAAAAATGCTCCTGTATGAGTTTTTGTCTCATATTTATATTATATGATAAGCGATATCACACGAGCAGCGAGAGCAATATCACGAGTACTGTTTGTCTCAAATGCAAATGTGATTTTATACAACAGTTCATTAAATGTTAATATTGTGTTATTTTTTAAACACAATGGTGTCTGTTTTGCTCAGTTTTGCCAACAAAAATATTACCTATAAAGCCACAGCAGAATTGTTGTGCGTCTGTTTATAAAGCAGCACAACTGTTTCCAACATTGATTATAAATCAGCATATTAGACTGATTTCTGAAGGATCATGTGACACTGAAGACTGAAGTAATGATGCTGAAAATTGCTTTGCTTCATAGGAATAAATTATATTTTAAAGTATATTAAAATAGAAAACTTTTATTTTAAATTGCAATAATATTTCACAATATTAGCCTATTTTGTGAAATAATATTCAGTATTTTAATCAAATAGATAGAGCCTTGATGAGCATAAGAAACTTCTTTAATAAACATTATTGATCCCAAACTTTTGAATGGCAGTGTATTAGGGTTAGCTCGAGAAATTTTGCTGCTTTTATGCTTGTATACGGTATTATCACGATATTGAAATTTAGTTGCAAAAAAAGTGTTGTCATAATACAGTATAACATGTTTAATAACTTTTTTCTTATAACAAACCACCTGACAATTTAAATACAATAAAGCAATATACAAAAAAATTTATAAAGTTAAAACATTTACAGATTAAAGTGCAAAAGAATTATAAAGACCAAAAAGACCAATTTTACAATAAGATCTCATTAGTTAACCTTAGTTAATGCATTAATATTCACAATGAGCAATATGAGCAATA